GTTTTTATTTTTAGTAATTTACCATGGAATGTAGTAATGTTCCTCAATATTTTTATTTTACTAATATACCATGAATATAGTAATGTTCCTCAATATTTTTATTTTACTAATATACCATGAATGTGGTAATGTTCCTCAATATTTTTATTTTACTAATATACCAAGGAATGTAGTAATGTTCCTCAATATTTTTATTTTACTAATATACCAAGGAATGTAGTAATGTTCCTCAATATTTTTATTTTACTAAATTATACATTCACTTGAAAATGCTGGTATGTTATCTAAAATTCATGATTGTTTTCTGAGTTCAGTTAACTTTCTTCAAATATTTACAGGTTTTTGGAAGTTTTAGAGAAATATAATCCCAAACTTCAGTGGGACAACAGTTCACAAGAACATTTCATGCAGTATAGGTGAGCTTGTACAGCAAGATAATTCTTCAAGGAAATATTAATTCCAAGTGTAGCGATCTAAGTTTCTGTAAAATATACCTTAAATTATACTGGTAGCAATCAAAGTGTCTGTAAAACATACCTTACATTTTACATGTAGCGATCTAATTTATTGTAAAATATACCTTAAATTATACTGGTAGCAATCTAAGTTTCTGTAAAATATACCTTAAATTATACTGGTAGCAATCTAAGTTTCTGTAAAATATACCTTACGTTTTACATGTAGCAATCAAAGTTTCTGTAAAACATACCTTACATTTTACATGTAGCAATCTAATTTAGTGTAAAATATACCTTAAATTATACTGGTAGCAATCAAAGTTTCTGTAAAACATACCTTACGTTTTACATGTAGCAATCAAAGTTTCTGTAAAACATACCTTACGTTTTACATGTAGCAATCAAGCTTTCTGCAAAACATACTTTAAGTTCTAGTTGTAGCAAACTAGGTTTCTATAAAGTATACCTTAAGTTGTACTGGTAGCAATCTAGGCTTCTGTAAAATACCTCAAGTTCTACGTGCACCAGTCTAGATCCTCTAAGTCCTATCAAGCTCATTTATGTTTTAACAATAAACTTAAAGTATATGTGAGTTTTGTATCTTAATAAGCATGTTTTTTATACCATAACAAACTTGTTTAAATCTAAACAACAAACCTTGTAGTTGAGTTTTGTATCTCAATAAGCATGTTTAAATGTAAACAATAAACCTAGGTTGTAGTTGAGGTTTATATCTTAACAAACTTGTTTAAATCTAAACAACTAACCTAGGTTGTAGTTGAGTTTTGTATCTTAATAAGCGTGTTTAAATGTAAACAATAAACCTAGGTTGTAGTTGAGGTTTATATCTTAACAAACTTGTTTAAATCTAAACCACAAACCTAGGTTGTAGCTGAGTTTTGTATCTTAATAAGCATGTTTAAATGTAAACAATAAACCTAGGTTGTAGTTGAGGTTTACATTTTAACAAACTTGTTTAAATCTAAACAATAAACTTAGAGTATTGGTTTGTTTCCTGTCATTTATCTTCTACAATCTTCAAGTGAAAATAATTTTGAAAGTAAAAGAAAAACTTTGCATAATTTAATTTAGAATTGCTTTAAAAACTAAATATCAAATTGGAGTATTAGAAAGTAAACATATACAGAAATCTCCAATAAATGTGTTTTGTGTAAAGGTTAGCAGATATCTAAGTCAAGACTTAAAATTGTTGGACATAGACTGAAGAGTTTTGTTCCAGTTTCATCAGAGTTGAATTTTTAATTGTTGGATATAGACTGAAGAGTTTTGTTCCAGTTTCATCAGGGTTGAATTTTTAATTGTTGGATATGGACTGAAGAGTTTTGTTCCAGTTTCATCAGGGTTGAATTTTTAATTGTTGGATATGGACTGAAGAGTTTTGTTCCAGTTTCATCAGAGTTGAATTTTTAATTGTTGGATATGGACTGAAGAGTTTTGTTCCAGTTTCATCAGAGTTGAATT